AGCTCGTTAAGGAGCTAGTTAACTCAAATTACTCTGTCAACTCAATGCAAAAAATTGGCCAAGAGACAGCTGGTATCTCAAAAAACTCGTTAGTCGGGACACTTGTAAGTCAAGGCCCCACTGTATCCATCACCTCACAGTTACAATTTGTGTGCATGTGTATGGTGAGAGCTTTTTAAGATCTACTCTCTTGGCAAGTTTTAAATATACAATACTGTATTGTTAACTATAGTGACCATGCTATACATTACACCCCAGAACCTATTCATCTTACAAATGGAAGTTTGTACTCTTTGACCACCTTTATGCCACTCCCCACTCCCCTCCCATTCATTAAGTCTTGACTGAGTAGGATACCACTAGGTTCTATTAGGAAATAAAAAGACACAGAAGTCAGATCTAATACTCTATCTCAATAGATACAAATCTAATTTAAAAGCAACACTTATAGTATTTTTAGTGAAGCAGCCAGTTCACTGTATTTCCTAACCTGTCCTTCAAAAACACTTCATCCCAATTTATTCATCTCTTACTTGAATTTTCAGATTATTTTGAGCTAAATTTCAAGTCAGTTTGATAACAACCCTTAGTAAGTATAAAATACTGAGTTCTAAATTCTTAGGACTGCAGATAAGTTGATATCACTGAATTTATTTTTAAACAAAATATTGAAAACCCTTCTACTATCTATTTCTACTTCTTAAAGCCTGGCACATTTAACTGAATTTCGTGAAAATGAAAAAGCATACATCAAAGCTGATAAAATTTTCTATTTTAGAATAGGCAACCAAAATTCAGTTTATGGGAAAAGATTATATATCTATTTTAAGTCAGTGATTTTCAGCAATGTACAATGTAGGATCAGAATAATGCTAGACATAAGTACATAGATACAATTATTTCTGGCTTGTAGTTACAATGATTCAAGTGCTCACTTCACCCTCTCCCCTTCTGGAAGTCTTCTCTCCTACAATACACCAAACCAACAAAGGTTCTGGATAACCTCCTGAAACAATGTCACAGTATTCACTGAGCTTCTGCCCTGAGTCAAAATAGAAATGGGAGATACAGACCAAGGAAATGCTGTATATTTCGCAAAAGCATTTGTGGTTGTGTTCTTCAACAAAGTTTCCAAGATAACCACCAGCTCCACTTGGCAACCTGAGTCTCCCACAGTTAAGACTCCCATTATAAAGTTGGCGTGTGAGATAGTTTCCTGCTACTGGCTTTGGTGCAATTACTACTCTTAAGAACTAATGTGCAATGGCGGCATAATAGTTGAGAAAAATGTTATTTTGATGAGCCAACCAACCAATCAACCCACCCTGTCTGCTGCCCAGAGTTTTAGCCTGTCCTCCTGATAGGAAACAATTACAGTACAACAATCTATATGGTTGTTTATAAAACAAAGAAAACCCCCTCTAGTAATTTGAGATGCCAGGTAAGACGATTAAATTCTATTAATCAGCAACAGTTGAACTTGTAGTAGAAACAATTAGAGCATAAAAAAGCAGAACTAATATTTCTAAGTACTGGCCATTCTAGAATGTCAAACATCTATTGCTTTTGAAGACATTTCATTTCAAGGTAATTTCATAAGAACTCATAAGAATTTACCAATTTGGATTTGGGGCAGGAAGCAAAATAGAGTTCCTGCCTAAGGTGTGTCTGTGAATGAATCATAAGAAGGGCTTTGTAATGAGGTCAGCAAGTTAGGAAATACATTTCAATGGTGACATTTGGCTCACAACATTGTGTATGGGTGGAGCCTTGGAAAGATTGATAGAGAAATTCTAACTTCAGCAAGTGAAACCAAAACACTAACTCCAGTTTTTATTACCTAATACAAGTCCAGAGCCCAAACAGGACTTTGGAAGTCTGTCACAACAAGTCCTCGGCAGGTGCATTTCACTTGTTCAGGAAGTGCTGTTGACCTGCCTATGTCTAGGGCTCAGCCCTTGTGCCACTGCATCAGAATCAGAGCAATCCCTCTGGCTCCTGGCACAGATCCGCACACTGCCAGATCTAATGAAAGCGCTGAGTTTGGTAAATGTGTGAATTTAAACAAAGCAAGGAACATCCCTCATGCTGAGGTAATTTCTCATTAACCATTAGTTCAGTAAAAAGAACTATTGCAATATTGTAGTTTAAGAAAAACTATCTATCTTGTGCTTGTCTGCTATTACTTCCCTAAAATTCAATTACCCAAGACAGTTCTAGCTATGAAATGTTTGATCCAGGTGGTACTAACTCTCACAAACAAGATAAATGAAAAACTGAGATTATGCTTTTTATTGTGTATTTTTCATACTGATTCAAGTAATTTGTCTTTTTTAATAAATGAAAAGGTGGTACTTGTGTTCAGATTGTGAATTATATGCACATCTCCTTATAATCACTGAAGCTCTAATAAAACATTAATTAGCAGCTATTTTCAGCATGCAAATAAGATTCACAAAATAACAAAAAAAGTCTAAATTTGATAATAGAACAAAAAAGCCTTCATGGTCATAATCAAAATTATTAAGCAAAATTAGGTAGTGCTTTTATCAGTGTGAGTGGAAAATACTATATCGGTTATTATTTGAATAGCTTGAAAACAGTATAAACCACAACATTTGAAGAAAAGTCCCCCAAAAGTAGTTAGATGCTAGTCTGTTAGCAGAGGAAATTACAGTGGGGCCTTGACTTACGAGTGTCCCAGCTGTCTCTTGGCAGATTTTTTTGCATTGAGTTGATAGAGTAATTTGAGTTAACGAGCTCCTTAATGAGCTCGGTCTTGGAACAAATTAAACTCGTAAGTCAAGGCCCCACTGTATTTATTTTTAATTCTGAATTGCTGAAATAATTAACCATAGTTTACTCAGCAAACAGTAAGCATGTATGCTAAGTTCCTGTGCTTTTTCTTTAATGTTTTATGAGAAATACCTAGCTGAATGAGCTATTTCTGTTCCACAGAGATGAGTAATACTTCTCCCTTGTTCATGTGAAATAACCTCTAGTATCAGTGATGAAAGTACACTTAACTGCTTTTTCAGAGATCAAAATATAAAGAGTTATAAAGTGAACTACTGAGGACAAATGGTTTTAGAAATCTTATTTATGGAGTAATGTCTATTACTATTGTGCTTTTTCTTCTGTCCATCTTTTAATCATATACATGTCTTATAAACTTAAGCTTGACTTTCCAATCCTTCACCAACACCTCTCTGCTTAATGACACTAAGACGATCAATATTTACTATGTTGAGATTTATATTCTATTTCAAACCTATTACGAAGCACACATACAAACATGTAATAAAAGACTATAACTCCCCACCAGTATTTCAAAGTGTCCATTACAATGCAAATAATGTTTTCATTAGTCAGGTAACAATATTCACAACCTTAAACCAAACGAAATCCCTATCTTCTTCCTTACACATCTCAACTTCCCCTAAGGTACAACCTGACTCTTACCATAGCTCATTTGTGGATGATTATTTTTGGATTTGGACCTGGCATCATTAACCCTGATTGAAGAGGGAAAATTACACTATGTGATTTGAGATTTTACATTCATATATGTATCCAACTCCCTAGACAAACCAATGTAAAAATATGTCACTAAATTTTAAGCCAACAACTGCAAAACAATAACTCTCCTTTCAGCTCCTGCACACTAGATGAAGAGGGTGGGAATCAACTCCATGCAATTAAAAGTCTGTCATGACGGCAACTGCCTGCTAATAACGAACCTTGCCTGGAGTCTAGCCAGGCCACCCTTTTATGTTGCCATAGGTAGAAAACTCTCCATAGAAACTCTGTTAGCTTCATCACACCAGACAAGCAGCCCCAGTGAAAAGATTCAAGATCCGACTCCTGTGTGTGTGTGTGTGTGTGTGTGTGTGTGTGTGTAGGAGGAGGAGGAGGAGAGGAAGAGAAAAGCCCATATAGAAAGGCAGAGAGATAAAAGACCCAAGAACAGAGAGCAGCCCAGAGAAAAAGAGAAATTTGGACGGGACTGTTAAAAAAAAAATCTGCTCTCTACTTCTCCGTTTCTTTGCTGGGATTGGGTTTCGTTTCTTTAGGCGCCCCTGACCTTGCCGTCCTCCAGCTCTGCGCTCCCCCTCCCGGCCGCCCCCTCCCCGGGCCTGCGCCTGCCTTTGTGTCTGCCTGTCACTTACCGGGGAGCCCGGCGCAGCGGAGTCGGGAGGAGCACAAAGCCAGGGCACAGAGCTGCACACGAATTCTCTTACACACATGCCCCGGGCTGCAGGGCACAGCCCCTCGCGGGGCCGGTGTGCCCGGAGAAAGTGGGTCCCGGTCTTGCTGGGGGGACCACAGAAACTATTCTCTCCTCTCTCACTCGGCGCCACTCACAGATCGCGCGGACTTCAGGGGGGAAACAACACCCCGCTTAGCGCACTCCAGTTTCACTCCCTGTGACATTCGCCCGTGCGCCCCCCCACCCAAAAGGGGACACGGGGTGGAAGAGGCGAATGCAAACCCAGACCCGGACCCGGACCCGGAGCGACAGCCGATAAAAGGGTCGAAAACCCCGGTCCGTGTTCTTCCCGGGGTGGGTCGGGATAGACCGGAGGTTCCTCGGACTCACCCGCAGGAAGGGGGGTGGGAGGACTCGAAGGAAAGGTAGTGGCCCCCAAAGCTGAACTCTTTGAGAGAGGAAAGCCAAGAAAAAGCACTTTCCCGGGGCTAAAAGGCCGGGGAAGCGGCTGCTCGGAGTCACAAAGGTAACTTTTCCGGGTCCCGAGCGGCCCAGCCAGGGCAGGAGAGAGGCGAGGACACAGAACTGTAGGTTTAAAGGGGCTGGAGGGGAATTAAAACTATATTTGTCAGCCATGTTGAAGAGGCTCCAGTAATTTGTGAAGCTTCCCTCTTCCCTCTTGGTATTTGCGGGTGACACTGCGGGGCTGGCGCCCCCGGGCCCGGGAGCCCGAGGGAAAGCGAAGCGGGGAGGGCAGGGGGGGTTCGCGGCAAAAGGCAAGCGCTCTGACCTCGTTCTCGTCGCGCAGCCCCGGAGCCAGGCAGCAGTCGCGGTCGGGTCTCCTTTCTAACAAATCCTAAAGGGCAGCCATCTTGCTTCCTTCTGCTCCACTACGAAAGCAGCCTAGCCTCCGCATCAATATTCATAAGGCAGTTTGACGTCTGTTCTCATCACTCGGCGGGGCTGGCGTCTCGGGGCGGCCGCGCCGAGGGGG